GTTAAACTAGAGAACCTCAACACACTCCTTTTTGCCTATAGAACAACTCCAAAAAGTGATCTTGGAGGCCAGACACCAGCCGAAGGGTTTTTCGGAGGACAGCAGGATACGCGACTATAGTACCTACAACCGGAAGGCCGAGTTCCACAAACGACAAAACATTTCTTTCGCGAGGGAGATGAGGTGTTTGCTCGCAACTACAAAACCGGAGAGAAAACTTGGATGGAGGTAATGATAAGAAAATCCGGGAGCGTTGTGTTCGAGGTGGCGACAGCGCCGAAAGAATAAAGAGGCATGCTAATCAGCTCAGAACTAGACACAACAGAGATAGTCAAGTGGCACTTGACCTGCTGTGTGATAACTTTGAGGTTCTGACCCCCAAGGTAGACGGTCAGACAACGCTACCAGTCGTTCGTAGAAGTAGCAGAATAACACAACTGCCAAGGCAACTGGTTCGGGACCCGAAGAAGAAGAGGTATGAGGTCCAACTTTCAAAAGCGGGAGGTGCTATGGAGAGTGCAAGCGGCGTGGAGCCACGGCCTAAGGCGCTGAACAGGGGACCAAGCCAGCGGCGTGAGACACGCGCGAAGTTAGATGGCCGATCGGCGTGCACTACAGCGCCGAGCACGTGTGCTGGCTTTGCTCACGGGTGCAGCTCAATCAGTGGCTGGTCGAACATTCCAGACGTTTCCACGGGGGACTGTCGGTGCCCAACCAGCGACCAACCAGCGACCAACACGCCCTGGGCAGGAACGTTCTAGAACGTCCTCAATGGCTGGCACGCTATTGGGCGGAATGTTCCAGAACGCCCCCTCGTGTTCGCAAGTTGCCAGTGAAGTGCTTGTCCTTCGAACCAGCTTTTTTCCTGTTCTACCTTTCTTCCGGGTCATAACGCCACCGGTCCCGTATTACAGACGACTGGGATTTTTTTACTGCATGTGCGACTATATAACCACATCTGATCCACTTTTCATTTTGCGTCTTTTGCATGGACGCCAGTCTGAAGGCAGAACGGATGTAATGCAGGTGTGGAATGACTCATCTAGAGATTCACCAAGAATTCCACCTTTAACAAATAACAGTGACTCAGTTTTTCTCCTACAGTCCGTTTGCAGTAGGTTTCTGCCGGGAAATGTGTTTTCAGAAGTATGTAGGTATATATATGTATATATATACCGCAGGCAAACTAGTATTCGTATGTTCTGAATGCAACTACGTTATCGGATGCAAGATTTTACAAACACATTTTCAGTTTTACGTAGAAGTGGAGGGCAGTATCTTGCAACCCAGGACATAAAAGAATGCAAGTAGCACTACTGACCGTAGAAATAGGAAAACTAAATGGTTTGTTTTGGGCCTATTAGCCATCACAAACCGGACATATTTCAGCCTGAGGCCTGAGCAAACTGGGTTTCCAGCCGGAGTCTTTGATTAGTGGGGATTAAATCAAACCCACAATCCCGGATGGTCATCACCATCTCCCTTGTCTTCGACGGCATTCCTCCTACTTGTGCTGACTGCAGTTGTGCAACCACCTGCAGGGGCTCTTTATTAGCACCCTGGAGAAATGGGACAAGCGGTCCTGACATGCACTTGGATCAGTAGAGCACCATTTCAATACTAATCGTAGTATAGCTTGCATAGCCATTATGCATACTAAACAGGAGCAATGGGCGTCAATGTCGTCGTTTTCACATTGTTTATATAACGCACTTGAAAGAACATGTATTATAGGTTCGCCAAATTTAAATGTAAAATTCTATCATAAAGTGAGAAAGACGTTTTTTATTAAGTGCGCACGCGGGTCATATTTGGCCTCTTTTAGATAACTACAATTATGCAACTCCTGGGTCGGTGGAGTTCGTCCTATAAGGCTCTCTTGGTTTGGTCCCACTGCTTAATGCCAATGCAAACTGTGGCGATTTGAGTGCTGCGGTAAGGTTCACGTAAGACTTTAGAACATGAAATAAACCTGAGGCGGATGATGGCGTCCCCACCTCGGATGAAAAGACGACCTCCGCATGTACTCAACTTGCCAGAAAGAATTGCGTTAGTTGTGATTTAACTCCTGGATTCACATGTGTATTTCGTTCAATGAAGACTTGTCATGTAAAACCAAATGTAAAACCAACCACCTGCCCCACACTCTAAGTTGTTCACGTCTATTCGGCTGACATGTTAGGACAAGCTAATTTTGCCTTCGGGATGCATCAGTCTTCCCTGTCGTCTTGGTAAATATTTGACACATATGATAACGTGCGCATGAGGCACAACAGTTCGTATGTCTTGTGCGCACATCACTGACGGAAGTTGAAGTGTACGTGGCTCACCGGCTGGAAAGGTGTGTGCATTCAGGATACTGTTTCGGTCCTCAGGCATTTTCAAGGTAGGACACGGGAATGAGAACCCCCGTAACGCAAGTGGTCTTGCACTGAATTCCGGGAAGGGTGCCTCCTCCCGTGTCATAAGCGAACTAAAAACCCAATATGTCAAAAGTGGATGTTTTATGACCGCTCCCATGGTTACCCGCCAATGTAAGATCCCTTGAGATTGCTAAGCCGAGAAATGGAAAGGGAGTTCGATGTCTAAATTGTTTACTTCATGATAAAATAATGGGGACTTTAGTAACTAAGCCATTCGTCGCCTGTTAACACAATTAAAGTCTAAGCATGTTTGAAAGCGTAAACCTGACTGAGTCAGAGCTTCAGGGTGGAATGATTATTTTTCCCTGTTTATAATTTTTGACAATTAACGTTTGAAGTATTTTCCTATCTCCACTGATATTGGGTTTTTTAAAGTGCAAAAGTAGAGCAGTCAATTAACTAACGTATTCCGTATATCCTATGGGTCCTGGGCTCTAATAGATTTGCGTATCGTGGTTCGTCTGGCCCGTGAGTGATCCCCACTCATGGTTGGACTAGTAGGCTAACTTGCTGTCCCCGAGGCGTTCTTGATTTATAGACGAAGGCGCAAACATTTAGGTCACTTAGAACATTGCGTCCTTGTTACGTGCACATTGTTTAAATAGATTGTCCGAATCGTCGGCGCTCTATCATCGGGCAAAGTTGGTCCAAATCTCAAAAGGTTGATTGAAAATAATGTTTTTGCATTCATTGCTGTATCTCGGTCCTCTGGTGGGGTCTTTTTACAAAAAATGAAGTAATGTGCAATCGAGAAGTTTCGGCCGAAAGATAATGTTTGCCTGGTGTTATTTGTCCTCCTGAGTATTTATGTTCTTGGCTAGCCCAAACTACTGTAGAAAAGAAAATTGCAGACGATCATCTGAGAGGGTTATGTGGGAGCTCAGTGCTCTCTCCACGCATAGGACAGGCCAACGTCCAGCTAATCACATGCCTAGAGCGTATCCTAGCCGGTAAGATGGCATATGTTATAAACCGTGGTCACGTTCACATGTCGGTCAGGAGCAAACGGTTGTTTAGTAAAGTGTATCACCTGACATAACTTTCAGCCTCGCAAAGTTCAAAAGATCCGCGAAAGCACGACTGGGCATTTTATCTTTGAGCTGTCCTAATGGAAGTTTCGAAAGGACTGTACATAGTAATACGGCTCTCCTATGTATCCTAAACTAAGCGGTACAGCGTCTAGGGCATCCCAGCTCACGTAGTATAATTTTTTGAAGTCGACGTAGTTCACAGGCCTGATGCAGAAATCAGGTGCTCATTCACAATGCCCAAAGATTGATCAGCGAAAAGACATGCTTTCGCGCTGTTTCAGACGTTTTGAGGGGAAATACATTGCGAAAGAAGTTGGGCAGCTGCCGGTGAGGTTGCAGAATGTCACGGACATATTCACGGCCTGTCAAATGGACGGCGCCACGCATATATCCAGAACACCAAAACTCCGGGTTGGAGAGGCGACACAGTGCCAGACGATTGTGGGATTCAGCAATACCCCTCCCCTTACTGAAAATCGCAATTGTTGAATTAGCCTACCCCATCAACCTACTGTTACCGATTCGCTGCTAATAAATGATAGAATAAAACCTAAGAAAAGGTATGAATTGTAATGCATTGATTTCGGCGTCATCTTGAACAACGCAACAGACGCCAGGGTTAGTAGTGTGATTCAGATCCTCGCAACAAACGAACCACGTGCCTGCTATAAAATCAAGCTGCTTTTCGGCTTTTTGACTCAGAGTACGAAAACCTCGTTCTGACAATGAACACAGTAACAATAATCATGCACTGGGCCAACTGTTGCTGTCTCGGACCAGTGGCCGTGGGTGGTTACTTGAGAAACAATCTTTCCGAACACTTCGCAGGCAGCTAACGAAAATGTAGCTGTAGCTAGAAAATCAGCCACTCCTTTCGCAGTCTGCCATCTTGTTTTGGACCCGCCACGAGGTCTTTCTAAAAACCAGTCATGATGTCCTCGTAACTGTTGTATTCATGTCTTTATAATGATAAAGGGACATGAACTTTCTATCAGAGCTACAAAACGCGGTCAGTCACTTCCACCTTAATTGTTTATAAGACTCTTTGTAGTAACCTGATTCCGAGATCCGGGACGAACCGCATGCTTACAGTATTTGAAATTGTGAGGCAGGGACAAGACCATGGCACCAACCAAAGTGGTTCTCCAAATATGACATTGCTACCTATTTCAGCTCTGTTTGGTCTCCTAGGTCATTTCGCAACAACAACAGCGACAATCACGTGGAAAGCAAATTGAGAAAAACGCAAACGGCAATCTAGCTGTCGTTACTTGTATCTTAGTCCAAAAGTGCAGACCCTGTAAGAAAGCTCTTTTAAAATTCTCCAAGGAAGTCGAGTGCTGAGACTGAACTATCGAGAAAAAAAACACCCGACAATGGAAAAGAGGCTAAATTGTGATCAAAATTTCAAACTTTTACAATAACGTCAGGCAGAATTTGGTGGAAACACGAACTTCGCCAATGCGGTTTCCGAGCGCTCTTCTACAGAGGCGGCCTAGCAGAACTGACTTCGCATGCAGATTTACGCAAGTGTTGAAAGAGTCGCCTAGAAGGGGTTTTTGTCCATATTCATAAGTTGTGTGCAAAGATCCACTAGCGTAGGGTAGACAAGGTCCGGCAAGAGGCTTTCGTTATCTCGATCACGGCGGGCTTCAGACAGTCCTTCTTCGGTCGTTGCTCCAGTCAGCACGCAGATGGAGAGCAGACCGAATTTGTTCGCAAAGAGGATGTCCGTGTCGAGTCTGCCGTACGGTTAGGAAATGAAACACTGAGTGAGTGAATAGGAATATCGTATACTTTTTTCAGGTCTAAACAGCACTCTCCTGCATGTCCGTACAATATTGGTTTCAGGACAGGAGTGAGTTGCTCCTTGGGTAATGGAACAGGCGGCGAGGGCACGGAAGCCAACGTCCGAGGCTCAGGGGAGGGAATGACCCCAGGACCTTTGTAAGTAGGCCAGAGACGAATACGGCATGGAATTAAGCATACCGAAGGCTTGGTCGGCGAAAACGCGTTATACATGTGATGTTCTCGGAAGTTTTAGTTGGAAAACAAGGGATGTGTTCAATATTATCACCCCAAACACAGAATTGGATCCAGAGAAGCTACGTAAGGTAAGATTTGGCAGTGCTCAGGGTTTGACATCGAGTCGGGTAACTTCATGCTAGATCGCAAAAACAGGCTGTGCCGTCGCGTTTGGCCTGAACGAAGACCAGACGTATCTGTTGATTGCATTAGACGGACGCCTTGTGCCCCCCCTCCCCAACCACTGTGCTTAACCCTATATGCGGCTGGCCTGATTTTGTGATGCCCCTGGTAAGTGGTGAAAGGAGGGTGAGAATGTGAGGTTGGCCCTGGTGTCACGCCATTAAACCCGCGGCAGCAGAAGTTTGTGAACCAACGGGCTAACTCGGCATTCTTCCGGACACAGGACCAGATTACAGCGCCCTCCTTCCTAAATGTGGCAGTTATAAAACCTCACCAGTGTGAGCCCCAAGATGCTTACGTCTGGTGTATGTGTGTGACTGTAAAAGCTAAACTGTCTGTCTACCAAGTAGACGTAAGTTTTATTCTTCAGCCAAAATGTCCATGCACATCTCCAGGTTTCTTGGTATTATCCCGTCGTTGAAATTTGGCAGATGAGCGTGGGATGGGCGCTGTGCAAGTCCCCTGTCAGTCCACGTGTAAGTTTCTATCGTGTCGTCAGCTCTGCGGTAGACTTCATCAATGACACTGGTCGAACTATCGTGTTTCCTGGACTCCTGAAACATGCTTCTTAAAACTCTGTTATGCAATTACGTAACAAAAAGAGTTTTTGGTCCAAAAACCGCATTAGCTTTCCACTATCAAGTGCGGAGTGAAATTTGGCAAACCACAGTGTATGAACTAAATAGAGATGGTTTTTCACATTTATCAACCTCGTAACCAGATAACAGGAGTGTTTACAGTTGAGAAACTAGATGAGGAGCTCAGTTTAGTTTCCATGTATTCAGTTTAGCTCATCGTCGGATCTTTGGTATTTGATGTCGCATCACTGGACCAAGTCCAGTTAACTAATTTGTGAAAAGCTTTCCTTGCAGCTGCAGCAACGCAAAACCAGCGAACACTTCGAACTCTAGCGAAACAAATTACTTATTTTCTTTAATCCCGGAACAGAACGGGCAGATCAACAGATGGCAGATGTGTTGAGGAGGACTTCTTCAGCTGGCGTATGAGAAAAAGACCTAAACTATCTGTTCATTTAAATATGGAATAAACGAAACCAGTAGAAATAAAGTTAACTCTAGGTAAGTGCATCTGCGTTTATCATTGAGAGTGTATGATTTATTTGCCTTCAGGCTGTTGCAATTTTGCGCTACGTTAACATTCTGTAATCTGAATCCGTAAATTTTCAACGTATTATCGTGCTTGAAATTTTTCAGCGTTAACTGCAGGAGGAAAAAAAGTTTAATGCGTACCGGTCTCCAACCATGGCAGCGTCTGCGGAGGATATGCCTACAGTCTCCACAAGGTAGTCAAACATCGCCTTGTGAGGCTTCCCAAAAACGATCGGGTCTTTGCCAGAAGCAACACGAACAGCTGCCACAACGGAGCCAGCACCTAGGAGCAAAAATATTTCACGATTTTTCATTTATCATAGCTTTGCTTTTGCGACTTCTATCCCGGAACTCGTCCTTAAGCTTTGAAGAGACGTTAACAAGAGTAAGATAAATGGTTTCCATAGAAGGTTGACAGAGAAAACCTTTAAATTTGGAGTACACTAAAATTCTCCGTTTTAGGAATTTACATGCCTACAAAAACATTATAATTGCTAACTTCGAAAGGCCTTGTTTATGCCATAATTATGGTTGAACAAAATTAGAATTGCGTTGGGATAGATTGAAGCTGTCGTACCCACCTATAACACTGCCAAGTACGGCCTGCGGTCTGGTTACTACTGTTCTGTTAATGCATTTACTGCTTACAGTGCTGCAGTTTGCTGATTTCCGTTCATTTCTCTGCTTCCTCGACCGCTGCTCTTGAGGTCCCAACAAATTACGGGCCCTGGACTGACAGGCATGCTTGCATTCCAAATAGGAATTACAACCATAATATTGCTGACACCGTGGATGTAAGAGTATCAGTCTAAGGAAAACAATCATCAAAATAATATTAACGGCGAAATCTCCAGTTGGGGCGAGAAACGGACCTATTTCATATTTCCGGGTCCATTAATTTCCATACATGGGATCATAAGTTGCTTGCGGAGAGCTAGATGACAGACTGGGAAAGTGTAATCTAAGTGGATCATAGCTCACTTAGAAAGAAACGTGTATTCAGAGCAATCTAATGACCGCGAACCTCCTAAGTATGGCTTATATTTTTCAGGAATATCAAGACTGATGATCATTAAGCAAGACAATATGCTCCACGGCCATCAATACGTACCCATAACTGAATACACGGAATATGGTCACAAGTTTGCGTCTATAGGGATTTCATAACGAAACATCTCAATGTTGTTGACTTGCTAATTCAGTGCAGAAGCTCACTCTCCTCCTAACCCACTAGCGTAATGATTAACCCAAACTGTTCAGATTTTACAGTTAAAAGATGGCATAACATACCGGGGCATATACGATCGGGAGCTGGAAGCTGAGAATCTTCATTGGTTGCGTAAAACTTGCACCCCCTTCCAATAAGGGTGGCGGCCTTCATGCACTTAACATAATTGAATTGGGAATCATATCCAACTAAAACGTTTTGGATCTACGCAAGTGAAGGTAATAGACATGCGTCTACTTGGGGGCTCAATTCAGAAGGGTCAAAAGTGCTGGGGTCCATTGTCTCTTTCTGGAAAATATCATTAGGAAAAAAAGCACTTACGCCAATGCCTAGGCAGGAAATCCCCTCCTTAGATAATTCAAGGGAAAGTCCTTCTTCACCGATTACATACATGGGACCTTGTATGCCTGCTTTTGAAAGGGAATGAGCTGCAACTTGGGCAACACACACAATATCAGACTGCCATGAAATTTAAAATGTATTACTCTGTCAACTGGCAGTCCAAGTTTACGACACTTTTCATAATATTGTTCGTTGGATTTGGTGCTGTTGTTTGTAAGTAAGAGGCAACGCCTGCCAGACTTTTTCACATACATAATGAAGTCAGTTGCCCCCGGCGTCAGACCAGTCTGACTCCACAATGTTCCTAACAAGAAAGCTGAGTGAAGTGTCCGAATGTACCATCGCAATCAAACATGAACGTGCGACATCGCTGTAGTACTGCGGGGATTCCGGGCATTAAGCGGGACGGAGACGATGGAGTATGAATCTGTTCTACTGGAAAGACAGCCTGACTAGGACAGCTATATAAGTAATTGGCGTACGACCGCCATTGGTGACTATTGCCGATTGGCTATTAGTTTTCTTTGTATATTTTCAAAATAGGCTTGTAGCGTTGATCGTTGGTGGAATCTACACACCATAAACATTTTGGTGGGTAGATTCCTCTGTCCCGACGGCCGATAGTTGCAGTAGTTCAGTAGACCTAGCAAACCTTTTCTAGCTGAAAATAGTCATGTTGTCTCAGGAGAAGAGAGGCCTAAAAAATCAACGAAAATGACAGTTAAAATATTTGTGGTGCTTGCGCTACGGGACAGGGGAGTTGTAGATTTGAGGCTGAAATAAATGAGTGGGGCGACTAGAATATGCATGGAGACAGGTTATAGGACATAGGACGATAACACAACGATAAACAGTTGGCAGTTAAAAAATTTCAAATCGCCGAGCTTCCCAATTGTTGTTAGGGTTCCAAACGCGTCTGCCGCTTACTCAACTTAGTCGATAGCCCCTCATCCCCAACCAGCAACCCGGACTTATTGTAATCTGGTTTGACAAGTGAAACAACGACTGCGGGAATGCTGCGCAGTTGTCGCCAATTCCAGGAGGGAGAAAGGGAATCGATGGTTCAGTAGTCTCAGGGTGTACAACTTCAGACCGTCCCAGCTCCCATTCCCTCATAGTCCGCTCTTACAAACGTCCTAATCCACAAAAGAACGGACTACCTCAATTTAATGCCACGATTTAGGGCGATAATAGGAAAATGGGGCTCAACAGTCGGTAACAGCGAGCTGGAATGCAAGAAAATCGCAAATGCTGTCAGGGATGCAAAGAGCTCAAAGATTGTTCATAGTGACAACGTTACTTTCCCTAACACCTAATACGTTTTACGTGGACATTCAACGGACCTCGGGCGCAACGGAGTTCACTAATTTGACATGCAGACATATAAAAAATTCTCCGAAACTGTGTTTACAGGCGTCTATCTTTGATTCTAGAAGTTGAAAAAATGTAGTTTATGCTCTAAAACCTACACTCAGCCTTCATCCTAATCGAACGACAGAATAGGGCACTGCCCAGTTTGTAATTTCTCGTGGCACAGTATCTCTTTATTTAAGTAACACTTAACACGCTTATGGTTCCTGGCATATCGGCATGCAAATTTGCCCCATCGTTACTTTTATGCTCTTTCCGCATTAAGGAGCATGGTAAATATTTATGAAGGCATTATGTCATTATCCTATCGCTTAAAATATTCTGCCTTATCATAACCTTCATATAAGTTGTACACCTTCAGTGGGTGATACTGAAAAATGATTCCAGGCGGTCTTTTACGATTAGCGCGTAATCACTCTGACATAAAATTGCAACATTTTCACGAAGGCCTCGCCTACGCAGATTTTTTTTTTGCCTGAAGTATGGAAATCGCTATTTCCGTTGTGCTTTCGAACTTAGTATATGCCGTCCACGCAGGCGACAACACAACGAATAGTATTCAACCCCGTGAAGTATATACCAACAAAAAACAGGAAAAATCGAATGGCTGTTTTGGCTTACTTGGATTTTACCTGATACTGGATCGGCCCGAAATTATCCCACTCTCCTTCAGGCATTCAGTCACCTGGAACCAGAGACAAACGTGTCCACGCATGCTAAACAAACGGTGAATAGATGGCTTCAATTCGATGGGTCGTGAGCATTTCAACGAGACAAAGTTCATCCGTCGCTCGCCGCCTGACATTCTCTGCGTCTGTTGGCAGGACGTTTATTCATGGAGGAATAGGGAAACGCAAATGTTTTTTACGATATGTAGGAAGACGTATTCGGTTGGCAAGTGGGCCAACCACCTATCAGTCCGGATACGGCTAGAGCATTATAAACAGGTGCTATCTACAGAGATGTGAGAATGATGAGAATGCACCCCTTGGTAATGTTCTCATTAAGGCAATCGAAAATCCTCCACCATTTGATGCCAGAAGGCAAATATGCACATTCGCGCAGCGCCAGTGGTGCACAGATGATGCCCATCAGATGGCTCATGAGAACTTCATTAAAGTGAAGTTCAGCCATGACACGACAACTGTCAGTCTCTGTTACTGCAGCTACGGCAACTGAAATATGCTGGAAGGCACTCAGGGACTCGATTGTCGCGAACAGTTATGTACACTGCGTGCTACATAGCATGGGGTCTCAGAGCGATAACCTCCACGTGAGTATGCTAACAGTAATAGCAAATTGGTACGGAAGCTGCCATACTCTCTCCCATCTTACCCACACTTACACAGCGGCAAGGCAGATTTAGAATTTCCGGGGGCAATTTTGGACACAGTGGCTGACAAAGTTAGATACCCGGTCTACGTGTGCCACATACGATCTGATTCAATCGCGACGAATCAGGTTCTTGCACCATCGTGGGGGGTGGGCCGCTCATCTCTTATCTTACTGGGAGTGCCATAGAGACCAAGTTAAATAGTCACTGCGCATGACCCTCCGTGCTGTGAGAACCCTGTCATGCGCCAGTTTGCGGCCTTTCAAACTAGGACTTCCAGCTGATCGTTAAAGATTACAGCGCGTCAGATCTATTATAGTGGGGAATGCGCAGAGGTGTTCTGGGAGTGGAGTGCGTTGTGTCGACCTTACTCTCACTTACCTTAACCGCTCACCAGTCGGCTGTTCAAGCTGATCAGTCATCTGATGCCTAGCTTTGGGGCAGTGGTTGGCGCGGCATGAGCCTAGACCTAGATGTGCCACTACACTCCCCATACAGGCCGGTAGTTATGGACTTTAGCGGGCTTTTCGCAAACATATTAAAGCGTGCAATGAGGCCGTCCAATCCCCTTTTTGGTTCAGCGTGGCGCGGCGTGAACCCGCGACTAGGCGTGTCGCCATATCTTTTGATCTACGCGCGGAACCGCTCCCAAATGGGTCGGAGTGCCATACAGGCCAAATTAAGAAGTAGTCATGGTAGGCTGGCTCTCAGCCTGCCAGTCGGCCACTACATACAAACAGACGCCGGGCTGACTACGAGGTCTGAGTTGAATCGTGGGTTGGAAACCTTCCAAGCCACGGCTTTTAGTGCATCATGATAATCTCAAACATGTTAGGTTGTCTGTGGTGAAGAAGATGATTTGAGATTCGACCTCACTCTCTTTTCCCTCTCCTGTCGATTCTCTGAGCTGGAAAATCAACTGATACTGAAATTGATAAAGGTGGTTGACAGAGCTTTCACAGAAGACCAACAGAGTGTCGACTGCCCATCGGACCACCGTTCTTCCCTTCGTGATCCTACTTGTGGAATCCGGTGGAGTTGCGTTAACACAGTGTGATCGTCGATATAAGCGAATAGACGAGTGACAGGAAGCAGTTCACAAAAGGAAGATGTGGTCGCTGGAACCAGAGCTCATCCTCATTATTGTTGTATGTTTATTCATTTGCGTTCGGAGGATCACTCCATCGCCCCTCTCGTAATCCCTTATTTGAATCCACTGAGGTTGTGTGAACACGATGAAATCTACCTAGTTTTCGCCGTGCCCTCCCTCCATTTATTGTGACCCTAATAATCTAATTGTCCGTCACAGAAAGCCACAGAAGAGCCCCGGCTGCCTACGGAACTACGACCGCTTGCCTTCCTAATTCTGTCTGTATTGTTCAGCCCGCCTGCGGGGGCAAAGTTAAGTTTCCCCTTTGACTTCCCTTAGTCAGTTTTCTGTCCGTTGAAGGGGACCGCCAGAGAGCACCAGCTGGCAACCGTGTCCCTGTCCCCTCTAACTAACAATGAAATCTAACACTTTGCTTGCGGTAGGTCGGAGTGAGCAAAGTGAGCTGTGGTCAGGCTTCATGTACTGCTCCTTCAACTCAATGTAGCCTTATTTTCTGCGTTCCACATGCCGGCCAGCAGACAGTGCTGGCTGTCAACGGCATCCCCTGACCCCACAACCTGCCTTCCAGGTCTCAGTGATGGCTTCCGACTGACATGAATGAGCCTAGTTATGTTTCCATGGGCCTCAATTAACGCTCTTTCCACCGATTGTAGCCTTACTCGGTTTGCCGCCCGTGGCAGGAAGCTGCCAAACATTTATGATGGACCGTTTATAAGCTATAGGATAAAGTGTACCAAATAGGCCGAAAAATATCAGCGGGAAAAAATTACATTTTGGTGATAATAAGGTATGCTTTGGTCATTAAAGCGGATGCGTTGGGTAGGACTTATAGGATCTACAGTGACTAGTCTATCACATGGAATGTTAACCGAAAGTACGAAATGTTTTTTCGATTAGGAAGGATTACGTAGGTGGGGTCGTAATACAGATCGTGGGTCAACGTAAGCGCACGATGTGGCAGCCGGGTCAGAATGCCGGCTTTTGAGTGATCTCCTCTCCGGTCGCCTGCATAAACTACACTTGACATGAATTGACGGCAACGGTTTTATGTGAAGTCCCACTCATAAAGTGAGAAAGACGCCCGTGGTACGGGGTGGTGACAATAGAAGTTTCATGGGTCGACAGCGTACTTCGTGAAGACGAAATGCCAGAAGTTGTATCTATGCCAATATCTTGTTTAAATACACTGACGGCCGATAAAAATTTAAACACGTAGTTTAAAAATAAAAAACCCAACTGCCCGGCTAGCCTAAGCACAGCCAGCCGAATTCGGTCTATACACAATCCGCAAGACGAAATATGGAAACATACATCTATCAAAAAGGCGACATATCAAATTACAAACAGAGGGAAACTAAAGAGACAGTAGCTCACAAAAGCAGTAAATGCAAGTTAGCAATATGCATTGGGTCTGTTATGCGCGCTTTGAAAAGCCGACCATGGCTAATCCCGCAGCAAATAGAATTGCACGAATGTGACTTATTAGTCAGCATATGACCCATTACCCATGTCCTCCTGAGCTAATCCCAAACCTTAAAACTAATCTTAAAAACCACGTCCCAACCTCATCGCCTACTCTTAT